AAATATTTTTCTTCCCGTTGATAGCAACGCGACGCTTTCGCTTTTCAAACTCAACTGCAAGTGGCAAAGAGAGAGCGCGCGACGCTCGCGTTGACGAATGAAATGGAACTGCATTCAAGGCTGCGTCGGCGACTGTTGCTGCCTGTGCCTGAAACGTTTGGAAACGGAACGTTATAAAAGGGCCTGCTGGCTGCGCGTATATGTGTGTCTATGTGTGACTGTGTGTGTGTGTGTGTATGAGTTGGTTGCTGTGCGTGAGCACGCTAATTAGGGGTGGCTTATTCGCATTTGGCTTGTCCTGCACGATGGGCGTTGCCTAGCCAAAGCAGGCGCCATTTTCAATGCTTGCCAATAACAGGCCAGCCAAACCTGACTATATACACATGCACAGTTGTCTGGGTGTGTGTGCGTGACTGTGTGCGTCTGTTGAGCTGTATTGCATTATGTTATCTAATGCTTAACGTGAACATTTCAATTGAAAAATAAAACATGGTGACCTCGTTTGCGGCTCAATGGTAGTAGCTGATGAATGCCGTGTGCATTTCTTAGAATTTACATCAAATTTCTTTAGCATTGCTAAATGCTATTTTTGTTCGAGTTTGCATATAAAATCAGTTGTTAAAGTCACCAAAAACGCGATGCAATTTGATGCCCCGCACAGCAACAGCAGGCAGCAAAGCTGAACTGCACAGACAAACAGATAGACAGCAGAACGGACAGACTGATAAAGGGGCTGCAAAAAATGTTGCTTCTGCTGCTGTTGCTGCTGTCTTTGTTATTTGTCATCTAATGGCATCAAATTTCAATTACAAAATTGTTCCTCTCATTCACAAGCATTAAAATCGGTGTGCGCCACTTCAAATGGTGTGATAAAATAGTGACATGACAAAGGTGACAACAGCAGCAAATCCACAAAAAGGCTAAACAATGGTTGCCAGCAGCAGCAGCAGCAGCAACAACATATTTGTTGTTGTTGGAAAGAATTCATTAGGACTGAAATTAGGAGGGTTGACAATTTCGTCACACACAACCAAATCCCCGAGCCTGTCCCAATTTCAGCTCACACGGGAGTTTTCAATTTGACACAGCATCAGCTTTATAGCATTGAGCGATCAATCCAAAGGGGCGCATAAATTGAGGAACACGCGGCCTGCGCGTTGACAGCCACACAGGTGCATTTTTTTTTTATTTTTAATAAATATCTCTTTGAGGTGGCTAAAAATGAGGCTTAGAAGCAGCCTGTTTTATTCGCT